ACTAATGTATAATTAATCGTGAAAAATATGTTTTGCAGAGCAGCAGTGCTGAAACAGGAGTTATGAAAGGGATGTACGGTGCAGAAAATGAGCCACTGTCTGAATAAAGATGATTTAAATGTAAGAAAAGACAGCAGAGATTTATGTGCACGCTGATTAGAGAGGGCGAAAGAGAGAAATGAATTAAGTGTTGACAGCAAGGAGGGATGGGAAATAATAAAAAAAAAGGAAAACAAGTCATTATCTATAAGGCTAACACCCTCCACTAAGCTATAGACATATACACAGATAGAAGAAACACTCACAATCACACACATGTGGAGGTTTGCAGGGCAGTGCAGTGGGCGTAAGTTGACACGCCCCATTAGCCCAAGTGTGACAGTTTATTACCTTACACGGAAAACAAGGAAGACGAAGGTCACTCCTTCCTTCATATATCTTCATCTACATGTTTACAGCCCACAGATATAAATAAATCTGATCATGGTTTATAAAGACAGAGTTGTATATCTTCTATCCTACAATTATTTTTCCTTTTAAGTCTTTTACTCTTTGTGTTTTCAATTTTTATGATTAATGATTTTGATGTAATTTAGCTTAATGTGGAAAGAGGAAAGGACATATATGTTCAGTTGGCACCAAGGTCATTTGGTCTGGTCCTCTGTCTTATTTCTGTGAATTTGTGGAGATATAACTACTATAACAAACAGGGGCTTATCATTTTGATAATTACGGAGATCTCGAGAGCAGACACACTGCAATTAAAGGAGCATATATAAATAGACAAAATGTACACAAAATAAGAAAAAGACATGCTACATTTAGAAATGTTTAATTAAAGAGAATATTATCTAACAGAAAGCCCAGCAAATCACAGACAACACAATATAAAAATGACGCTAATAGTTAGACAATACAGCCATATAACCAAACCATATACAGACAACATAAAGAAATTGAAATATCATGACCAAACATGAAATGAAACTCCTCACATAAGAACATAAAACATAAAACACAACCAAACAACCAAACAACACGTCAAAATACAGAAAACAAGACCCGAGAAAGACAAAAGGTAACACAACCAACGACCCGAGAATAGACAACACAACCTCATACATACTCAACCAAATATGGAGAGTACAGATATCTCAACCAGATCCAGACAAGTCATTCAAATACAGACAACTCAACCAAAGAGCAGCAACACAATCAAATACAGATTGCTCAAACATATACAGACAACTCAACCAACAAGATCATTCAAACAACTTCAGACACCACAAACAAACTTCAGAAAGGAAACAGGAACATAAGAAATGCTAACAAAGAATATTCTACAACTTTCTGATGAACTGCACTCCTCGGAGAAACCGAAAGTTTATTTTTCTGTTATTTTGGTTCTGTTGGACCAGGCTGCTGCCTTTAATACGGTGTATTACACGATCCTACTTTCACACCTAGGAAAGTCTGCATAGGAATCAAATGTATTGCCTCCTAATAGTTTGAAACCTACCTCACCGATAGAAGTTATTCTGTCAATAGCTTCTATGGCTTTAGCGCCTCTTATTTGCGGGGTCCCGCAAGTCTCCATTTTGGGCCCTATCCTCTTTCTATTGTTTTTGTTGCCATGTCTTTGCTAATCACACGGAATGTTCCCATGGTGATTAATATAGTATTTCTGATCTGATCTATCTGCCTTTAACAGCAAAATTGAAATGCTGCCATTGTTGAACTGCCTAGAGTTAGTCAACTGGACCTTCTGGATGACTATGCTGCTGCTCATAGCCCTCTAGCCTCTCATAAATGTCAATCTGTCAAACATTTTGTCTTGTGTCTAACAACTGAAAGGTAAAAAAATGCACTTAACAGAAAACAAAAGGAGCCTTGAGGAAAATCAATAAAACAAGGAGAAGTCTTGAGGAACAGATACATGGTGAACATGACAAGAAACTGACAAGGACGGGAAAGCACATAGACAGTTACTGCTCAAAGACTAATTAGCAAGTGCAATGAGTGATAGAATAAATCCAGATGACATATGGGGCCTTACCTCAGGGTAAAACAATATATTTGAAAATGCATTAGTAAGTGGTAGTGCTTATTCTAACATTCAATCCTTTCTTTGCTAACTTTATAATTACTAAATCCCTGGCCAACATTATTATATGACAGAGTTACACCAGAACTAACGATTTGTAAACAAGGTCACATAATTTAATTACCCTTCGTGATTGAGCATGTCATTGTAATAAACTATTAGTTCTGTGTTAACAAAAATATAGGCAAGACTTGGATTTCTGGAAGGATACTTTTGGATACATCCACTAAGGTACTTAATGATATCCCTTTAAAAACAACAAATTGTGTCTGGTTTTTACTTTATCAGTTATTTCAAATTAAATTAATCCAAGTTATCTGATTTGTGTGAAGCGTGATTTCAATTAATATTTTTTTAATATGTTTTCCTACTTAACCAGATGAAGCAGGAATTCACTTAAGAATGTTGCAAGAAAGGATAACTGATGAAATAGTGGATATTTTACAAAAACAAGTCTGACTATTTTGATCAGTGTTGATGATATTGAGCTTGGATGAAATCTACTCAATGCCCTATGGCGACCAGCAGGGCTTTGTTTAAGTGCCACCTGTTATTTAATGTTTCTTGCACACCTCTTTAAAGAAATCCAAACAGAAGCCAAAACTAACCAACAATTTCAGTAATGTTGTGCATTTACATCTGATTTATTGTCTCTCCTGTAATTCCTGTAACCCTCTAGTCCTCCATCCATCCTTCCCTCTTTTATCTTTCCCCCCTTACACCCTCTGTATATGCAAATAAGTCCCCATTACACTAATTGGCATTGAGAGACCTGAATATTTCACGTGGACTATCATCCCTTCACAGGCGGGTGAGTGTTGGCTGTGGCATAACATCGCACAAGCTAACATGCTGATGGAAATCTCACACACACACACACACACACACACACACACACACACACACACACACACACACACACACACACACACACACACACACACACACTGATGGCATGAATGAGTGAATAGAGGTCATGCAATTTATACTGTGTGTCTGTCATATTGGCCAAATGAAGCAGTGGTGAGTTATTGTGAGTGTGTGTGTGTGTGTGTCAGTGTGTGTCAGACCACTCGGCATCAGATTGAATTATGCAGTCATTATTTATGGAGACATCCCGTAGAGGAGATGCTCTCTGATCTCTTTGTGTGTATTCTTTATTGAAGAACATGGGGGTGGTTTGGTATGTTTTTCTTTCAGCTTGACCTCTTTGGAGAATTGGATGTAAATGTCACACAATTAACCAACAACCTTTCTGTACCTGTGTAAAATGTCTGACCTCTATACACAGGATTATAAATTTGCTTTGTTTCTTTTTAACCTGTGATGTGTATAAAAACTTGAGCTGAAGACATTTTGTAACAATAGAATGCTTTGCACTGTTAGGTGACCTAACAAAGTGACTTTTATTTTTACATCGGTAATATGGTTCTACTGTTGAGCTTACTGTAATACAAAAATGCAACTTTCTTTTCTCAGCTTCTCATCAATGGTGCTGGAAAATAAATGTCCTTGTTGGCTTATCATCGGCATGTCATTTTAAACTGTTGGGAAGCCAGTCACAAACCAGTAAAAGGAACAGGTCCCATCCTTGCATACAGTAATTAACACCAGTTGTCTCCTGCAAACACATCTGTTAGGATATTTGCAACCTGCAGCACGTCAGTGTTTGCTTTGTCTACATTTGGTTGTGTTTTCTGAATTTGGTTGAGTTGTCATTTTACTTGTATTTTGTTGAGTGGTTGTATTTGTAAGTCCCCTTGAAAGTGTCAAGAAACTGAGCAGTTTTTATGTGGACAGGTAAACTGTTCCATAACTTAGGAAGTTGGAAGTTTAAGGCCCAGTACTGCTACATGTTTTTACAATTAACCAGATCAATTTGACCTCTATTTAGGTGCACGTTGTTAACAGGTGCAGCTGAGTGAGCAAGACACAGAAGATGCCAATCAAACAGAGTCTGTACACGCCCACACGTTCCTGAGAAGACCTCTCATCAGGCAACAAGTGAAAACACCTGTGTGGGTGGAATCTTTGTGGAGTAGAGATCATTTTTTTCATAGATTGAAACAGTCCGTTGTCAGGTAAAAATTTAATCAAGTCAAAGCAAAATAAAGATTTGTATAATTAATTGGAAAAATAAATTTGATTTGATTGAACTGGATACTTATTTACTAACAGCATATCCAGTTACATGATGTTAGCAGAGTAACAAAACCTACAGATAATTATCACCTTCATATGTTAGAGTTTTAACTTAGTGTTTACCTGTCTAAAGTCCATGTCTTTATAGTTTTGCTTTCCCATATCACTCTTAAAGCATGTTTTTTTGTTTGATTTTGCATTGAAAAACTTACAGTACAAAATGTGCATCTGCACACTACCTGCTGAGCAGCATACAACCAAAAAAAAAAACCTGCAGTTGGAGGTGAACACAGAGTAGGTGGAGACCAAACACTGAGCTTGCATACACAACTCCAAATGTAAGATAATGCTGCTCCATTACTGCTGAATTTGTAAACTAGCAACTGTTTGTTAACAGGTTTTTCAAAAACAAATTAATGATGATAAAAAAAATCAGTTTTTGTTTTCTGAATGCAAAAGATCTCAACCTTTACGCCAGCGTTTGGTAAACCCATGGCATACTATCCTGGTGGTTTATGCAGAAACATGGGAAACAACTGATGAGGAATTGTACGTCAACGTTTTAACTGAAAAGTGCTGCCTTTTCTGTGTGTGCTGCATATGTGTATAAAAAACATCAGATGAATTAATTTCAGGATCTATATTATATTTTTGACTGTCACACACTAAAATCCATACACACAGACTCAAACACTCATGTCAGTGATATACAGATGTGTAAATACATGTTCACACAGTAACAGCCACACACTTGTTTCCTTATTAAATATACTTGGTGTTTTTTATTTACATAATATAAGACAGAAGATGTGCCCTTAATGTCAGTCAGAAACCAACAGCTGTCATCATCCTCTTCTACATACACGTATCCAAACACAGGCTCTTAACAGGTACATGTCCAGGGTCGGCTCTGTATCTTTATTACATGGCATCAAAATACAAAAACGCTGACCAGATATCTGACATGGAACAGTGCCTCCAAAAGAGAATTGCCAGTGAAATGGTAAGTTGTAGGATTTTACAAACATTAGTATCAAATATCAGTTAACGTCATTGAAGCTACTATTTTCCTGTGAACTATTATAGAATAGGAACGGTGGATTAATGCACATCCATTAGGAGGACCTGTCTAAGTATGAAAAGCATTGACCAGTTTTATTTCTGCTGTTAGAACCAGGTTCATGTTAAATGAATAGGGACCAGTTTCCCATCAACTTAGACCTTCTTAACTATAACTCAGGATTTGGGGGGGGCTGTAGTTGATCTCAGCAACAAGACGGTTTATCAGTTTATAGCAAGTCCAACTAATAACACAGGTTTAGTAACATCATGTTTCCATTAGAATGACATGTTGGAGAAAATGTTTTATAAAGCCATGACTTAGAGAAAATCATTCAAAAAAAAATGAATGTGTAAAACGTTACATTAGTTCTTAATTCTCAAAAGAAATAAACAAAAAAAGCATTACTTTAAGGTCACTATATTAGATATTATTATTATTTTCAACCTTACACAAGTCTCCGAGGCCCTCACAACATGTATGTGAAGTTTCCTGCCAAAAATCTACTCTGATCCTGTATTTTAGCACGCCTATAAACACCTCAATTTCAGCCCTGCTCAGAACAGGCTGTTCCTGGGTCTGTACCTTTAAATGCAGGTAATTTGTATCTGACAACGCCCCCTCCAGAAGGGAATGTTTCTTGCTCAATTGTTTACGCAGATTCTGAGGGTACAACAAACACCTAGCTGTGGCAATGTCACCCACCTGGGGGAGGGGATACTGCCCTTTGTGATGTCAGAAAGGGAAAATCTGTTTAATTACATATTTTCTGAAAACGTGGAGCAGGCAAAAGATGGAGAGGGTGGAATTTGCTCATAACTGGGGATATGTAGACAGACTAGGGGAAACATTAGTGTTCGAAAAACATAGTAAAGTGTATTTTGCATAATATGTGACCTTGAAAGGTGGGCAGGATTTGTTTGACACTGGCAAGTAGACAAGATCTAGCCTGGCTTTTGACACATACAGTCAAATGAAGTAAGAGGCTGGAATAGAAACCAAAGCCAATAGAAAATGGGACGAATTAAAATAATTTTGTGAATTACAAGAAAAAAGTGTTTAAAATGTATTTTTATCTTTTTGAATATATTGAATAGACCTAAACATTAACTGGTTTGCTAAAGGTGCCATAGGTCTTTATTGGTAAATTATTATGCTTGTATATTGGCAGTTCAATAAGTTCTCTTATTGTACCCTCCCACACTAACCTCAGGATCATGACAACATGTGTTCACATCCATTATTTGACACAGCTCATACAGTACAGCTCAGTTGTATTACCACTGTGGTTATGATTTAGGCCTGTGAGACCAACAATTTGAACTGCAGTGTGTTGGTCCATGACTGACAACACTGTAGAGAACCAGCACCTGCAACACTCCCGCACTATATCAGCAAGACATGTAATATGGGAACAAACGTCTAATATAATGCCAAGAATTGACTGTCTTGGAGATGTGAGCAGTGCACACAAGTTGTGTGGGTGTAACGCTGATGTAATATCCTTTATTTAGCCTAGATGCAGAATTCAGGTACTGCTGCAGTTGAATGTAAATGACACCTGCTTTACATTTAAGATCCAACAGATTTAGTTGGGGTACTGTACACAATAATGTATGTATGTATGTATGTATGTATAGTAGAAATAACTGCAGGGTAGAAGTCAGGGAACTCTTGTGTGTCAATGTGTGAAAGGCTGCCTCAGGAAAACGTTAACCTGAGCTCAATAACATAACCGTCAAATACACTTAAGATCAGTTAACATACCAACACTGAGTAAAATCAGTCCCTCATGGCAGATTCAAAAGTGTTTATAATGGCTTCTTTTTTGAACCAAAAGTCACGCATACTTTTGGGTCTGTGGCAACTCAAAATCACCCTTTTAAAATGTTAAAAACCTCTAAAAACAAGCAGACACACAATGTAGAAAATGTTTACAAAGGCAGTTTATCAGCTAAGCTAGCAACAATTGCCATCACTGCTAACATATATGACTAATCATCGGCACATCGTTGCTGTTCTTCAAATATTATCTCATCTTGTCTACATGTTACAATGCAGCTGTGTTGCTATCTTCCTCAAATAGTTAAATGTCATTGTTGCTAATTGAGTGATTTATGTTAAACCCTCTGTAGTAAACTAATGCTCGAGGGACCGCAAAGGGGTCAATTTGTTCATGTGGGGTTTTTGATCACACTAAAGTAGACCTGCAAGACTTTAGGAACCTCTCTGAAAAAATGTTGGTGGTCCCTAAACAGAAGTTATACTCAAATTTGTTTTAAGGGCAAATTAAGGCTAACTTCCCCAGGCCTTATAGACATGGTAAACATCCTCTAAGTTGTGGGAAAACCTGAACCGCTCTCTAGTGTGTTTGACCATTTATACTGAATCAGAATTGACTGATCCGTGGCCAGCTTGTCAATATAACTATAAAGAGAAATGTCAAAGTGCCTTTCTTCTGAATCACTTGTGTGAACATAAACTTTTTGACTTACAGATGTCCCAGGTGGATGTTGATAGTTCTGATTTTGTATACTATCACAAAAAAACATCAAGATTATAGATCTTTTTTGTCTCGTGAAACATTTGGGCTTTGCTACAACAGAGCTATTAACTGTTAACATCTCAGTGCTATCCAACAGGTGTAGCAAGCTCCAAAATGAAATTAAGCTACTTATTAAGATTTTAAATTTCAACGTGTCTTAATTCAATTTATACTGTAAATATGTTTTCTAGTCCTAACACTTCATTACATCTAGTTATTGGTTAAAATACATATTTCTGTTATGCTATAATACCTGATATTTAGGATAAAATTATCCATGTGTGTGCTACATGGTTGGATTTATCAGTTGTTGTTATTTTTCCAAGTCCATGTTGTCTCTATGGACTACAAATTGTATGGAAAATTATTTTCAAAAGTGTCTACTCTAAGCGACAAAAAGTATGAAGACCTGAATGAGTGCAACGGCTTCAAGATTTGTGATGGTAACGCTAACAGAGAATCTGATGAGAGAATTTGATTATTTTATCGCATAATGACCTTTGACTGAATTTTTTTGGCACTTGTAGAAAATGTCTGGCTCAAACAGTCAGAAGGTCAAACAGATACCTTTTGGACTTCACTGCTTCTCATCTTACCATCCTTGCTTGAACACACTGCTGTATTATGCTGGTGTTTATCTCAGTTAGAGGGCACATTGTCTCTTAGATGGTGAAACTGAGCCAGATGGTCCTTAGTCTTTGTGTCAGAGGTAAATTATCCTTCTGATGCTTTCCCTTCAAGCTGTGTTTAACATAGCATAGCCAGTTCATGTTCCTGACGAATCCCCTGTCAATGCCACAGAGCTGAAAAAGTGTCAAAATGTGTTGGTCCGAAAGTACACAGACAGCAGGTAGCACACATTTACTTTAGCAGCAACATTACCCTGTGCTGGTGGTGTCTCAGAAATCAATTGGCACATTTTCGTTGAATCATTTAAGAGGTTCAGCAACCAGTTGGTCATTTGGCAAATGTAGTGACATACTGTAGCAGCTTACACGTTTCCCATTCGTGGGCAATTTTGTCAATTAAAGTTAATTTATACTAGTTCCACAGTTTCCTATAGTCACTAATATGTATTGCAATTTCAAGAGAAGCTGTTATTATTTGAGTGATCATCTTATTCGTCAGTTAAACCATATCGTGTATGCTGTAGCATTTTCCCCAAGGAGGTAATCGTTATATCGTTACACGTTATACTATTTGTCTAAATTTAAACGAACTAAATTGTTAGAGAATTTTATCCAAGCTCATCAATAATACGCTGCAACTAGAATGTGATTTTGATTCATCTTTGCATACACGTTAGATAAAAAAACATTTCTGTTGACATGTCATGGAGACTAATGCTTAATTAATGCTTATGAACATGTACGGTAATTAGAGTCACGTCCATGTATGTCAACGAGGGAAATGGCAGCCATGTTTGTGTGTTGTGTAAATCATCCAAATGTGCCCAGTCTCTGAAATACTGAAAGTCCTTTTTTCATGATCCCTTCACTTTTGAAATGTATGTTGACTATTCTCTCAGACAAAAACTTCTGACAGATTTTCTGGGTTATTGAGCGATGTGGATGTATCTGGAAGGCATGAGGTTCCTCCTAAGTGAATTTCCTTGCAGGGGGCGAGTGAAAGCTTTTATATCCACATGGCTGAGAACAATGAGAAAAAAAAATGGGAACCATGTTGAGCATGCTTCATATGTTAGTTAAGTATTACAGTATTAGTAATATTTCTGGGCATTATTGGTATTGGTTGATCTGGAAAACAAAACAGCATTTCTAATATCTGAACTATTTAAGGAGAGCTGATTACATCTTTCTAAAAGTAAGACACAATTAGTGTCCCGGTAGCTTGATGGGATGGGACAAGGCGCCTACCATAAGTTGACGTCACAGGTTCAAATTTGTGACTCTTAACCTTTGGCACATATCATAACGTCATCAAAGAGGCTCACTCTGTTGTAGCTGAACAGAAATTTAAAAAAATATTCAACAAATTGAAAGATGATAAATGAAGCTCTCTCTGTGTTTTATTCGGTTCAAATATTACAAATGTATTCATCTTATACTTGTCCTGACTTAAGCGGTAAAAAAGGCACAGAGCTGGGTTTAATTTTCAGTCCTAGCATATTATTTGCGATGAATTGGCTGGACTGTTGTCGGCTATAGTTTGCAATAGGTTAGAAGCAGAAAAGGCTCTAAGATTAGCTTAGTCCTAGCCATTTTGGCATTTCTTGTCTTGACCCCTATTAAAACATATCTACTTGTATGTGCCTCTCAGTGTGTCCCCCTGATCCCACAACCTGGTCCTACTGTGGGTTGATGTAAGGAGCAGCAGATGTTAGATTTGAGTTTGGTAGAGCATGACAGGATTTAGTAACAGTTAGAGGGGGATGAGGGGGAGTTATATTGTTCTTTATCAGTTGACTTCCCTGTATAAGAGGCCATGATGCACAGCAAACATTTGTGGGATGTTGCCATCTTTTCAAAGTTCATACGTCGTCATTGGTCATCATCCACTTTTGAATTGAAAGCAGATTTGTTCTTTCTCCGCAATTCTGTTGATCTCTAACCAGTGCAACACCAGTCTGTGTCCAGGTTTTCTCCAAGCCTTGTTGAGAGCCACCTGGGAGAAAGGGCCAATGGAGAAAGCTAGATACCAGGTATGAAGCTCATGAAACCAGCAAGATCATCACGTTTTATATTTAGGTTTCTCTGCTAATTGACCAAGTCAGTCCTTGTTTTAGGGTCTACGTGAAACGAGCATAGCTGCTGTTCCTTGAGTCGTTTGAAGCATATCCCCCTCTCCAGAGGAAGATGAGGGCCTTTTGTTCCTTTTTTTTTTTTCGCCAATGATGAGAGAATCTTTTAAAGTTTCATTCGTAGTCATTTTCAAAGTTTCAAAGTCATCGCCCAGGTCTGAATCCAAGTTTACATCCATTGCATTTGCATATCCATAGATCTGTGAAATTAATTTCCTGCACATTTAAACAGGTTCAAAACTTGCCCCCTCACATGATGAGTATCTCTTAATACAAGTCTGTGCTCCGACCCTACAAACTTGTTTCTCTTAGAAACATGGTCCCGATGCTGTAGGAGACTTTCCTCATAGAGGCTGGGGGAGCCGAGCGAGAGCTGGTCAGCGAGGCATGGCTGTGAGAAGTCCCTGCCTCCAGAAAGTAACATGTCCCTGGGATCTCTTTGGGAAAGTTCTCTGGGAGCTCCAGCCGTGATCGAGGGACGAATGAAAAAGAACGGTCATCCTTCAGCAACCTGTTGACAAGAGAAGGGAAGACATTTCTTCAAACGTGAAGGTAAAAAAAACAACTTATTATAGTTGGCTGATATTTCAATTCATGTACACATACTCACATATATACAGTATATAGGAATGAAAAGATAAGCCACATTGCATTCTAAGGCATTTATAAGCATTTGTAGTTATAGCAACAGTGTTAAAAATTAGACCTTGCATGTTTTCTGTCCATGCATCTTTTGTCATTGTAAGATGAGTGCTGTAACTTACTGGTAAGTTGTGGGGCTAACATTGATACACCTTGGCTGGCTCCCTGATTCAAACTTGCTGGCCAGTGTCACATTGTTCCCAAACAGGCAATACCGAGGCATTTTAACCCCGACCACGCCAGCAAGCACCGAGCCTGTGTGGATACCTATCCTTAGCTGAGAGAACGAGAGGGAGGAGGGGGAAGAACAAAGAGAAGATTGTAAATAGAAAATTAACAAAAACCACCAGTAATATGTTTAATTAGCAAATAGTTTAATAAGTCCTCTCTAAAGATGTCACTCTCTTAACCATGTTTAATAGCCTATATAATCCGTCTACTCTTTATTTGCATTGTTCAGACAGATTTATAGACCAGCCTGCTCATAGTCGGACAAAACTCATCTTTTTATTTCATATGGGGCAGATTGAATACGATGACTGATTGAAAAGAGCCACGCAGCTACATCACAGGTTGTGTTGCCCTAAATGGTTGAAGGTCTTTTCAAATGAGTACAGACATTTTGTTCCGAGGACGCTGATGAATTCCCCTTTAAATCAAAAATGGAACTGAGAAATTCCTGTTTAACTTCCATGTGCAAACTGTCATAGCGATGTAAGAGGTCACATCGCCGGGCTTCAAAACCTTGTCTTGTTTTGAACCACAGGTCTGCTGTGTGCACATCAATCCACTGAATAGAGATAAGCAATGGAAATCATAAATCTGTACTAGTGTAGCTGTTATCTAATCTGATTTCAAGTACATGTTTGAAGTGATGAAATCTTAAAATAGAAAGATTTGGCGAGGGAAATAAATCAGATATATAATTGCTTCTTTCTCTCCTTGGTAACAGTTATTGTGCAGCATAATAATCTGGCTGAGATATGAATTTTTAAATGGCTGATGGCAGAGTGGGAGCTATGTGGCCATTTTCCCAATTTGACCTTACCACTTGATGGCCACTCGACAAACTATTGATTTCCTCCACTTGGGATCAAGTGACCATACATACAGCATACACACACACAACACACGTACACAATAGTCAGTGGAATCCAGTAGAATTGTAATGATCTATTTGAGCATCTCATCACCTAGGTATCCAACGCCACTGTGTGCATGCCAGCATACTGCAAGGTAGTCATGGCAACAACAGGCAATGGGGGTAGTGAGGTAGAAAGAGCACGGACAGAAAGACAGACAAAGGAGAAAGAGAGAGAGAGGAAAATAAGAGAGAGCGAGACAAACTGCAACTATATTTAGAAGGCGAAACCTTGACAGTACAGGAGGAGAGAGAAAGAAAACGAGAGAGACAGAGAGCGAGAGAGGAAATCTGGTAGGTGCACTTGTGTGACCTATTTTTCAGCTAAACTGCTTACAGATGGCCATGCGCTCCTCTGTCTGTCTCTCCGACAGACAACCGCTCTACACACAAACAAATCTGCATCCAGCGCCCACTATCCTCTTTATTTCTTAGTCTCAAAACACAGACACAGTAACGTTCATGCTCCTCTCTCCTTCTTTATTTTGCTGTGAGTCAGCATTCACAGCACATGGCCCTCAGTGAGCCAATGAGCAAATGGCGCAGCAGCACGGACAACCAATCATATTGTAGCCTCTGGCCAAGCTGACAGAAGGATGCAGAGATGGAGAGAGACTGAAAAAGAAGCTGAGAGAGGAGGGAGATTTCATGGAGTCAGTGTTGTTTAATTTACATTCAGTTTCTAGTTTAGAAGCCCTTCCCTCCAACTAATGCAGTGATGTCAAGCGTTGAAGTTATTACAGAAGAGTTAGACTTCGGTGTTGTTCAACTGTATTGGGTTATACAGGGAGTTGATATTGTTGTTCAATCTACCCTAGCTGATAACAACAGCATAATATTATACAATTCAAAATGTAACCAAACATTTGCCTTCGAATTGATCACACAGATGACTCCACACATCGCTAGTATAAACTTGATGAATATAGTAGAACTTTTGTAATACACTGCAGTAGCTTATGTGACACAAACCAATTATACTGGAAACTCAGTTATCAGTTATACCTATTATTCACACCAACTCACGTACTCATACACCAGCACACATGCACAAAGATCGTGCTACAGGCCTGCAATCGAATGGAAACATATATGTTGTTGTCTCTCGCACCTCTGTCTATTTCTCTCCGTGTCCCCGGATCACTCTATTGCTCTCGCTGAACGTTTACTCTCAGTTCTCTCACAGCTCTCATGTTAGTTTGCATAACAGTGCAACATTGGCTGGAGTGGAGTGCACTCAGTGAACAGCATTTATCACGTTGAAGTGTTGAGCACCTCTATAACTCTCCTCTATATGAACATGAAGTGAGGAGGAATAAGGAAGAGGAGAGCATAACAGAGGGAAAAATATATATATAAAAAAAAGAATAGTACAAGAAAAAAAAAACTGAGAGGATGAGCAAGCAAGAAGAGGAAAATAATGGGAGTGAGTTCAAGAGAGGCTGCAGAGGGGAGAGTTACGAAAGGAGAAGAGGGGGAGGGAGCCATGAAGAGGGGAAGTGGGATGAGAGAGAGAGAGAGAGAGAGAGAGAGAGAAAGTGGAAGAACCAGAGAACAGGCCAAAAATGCTTGGCAAGGCCTTTCTATTCTCAGACAAATGGACATCAGTGTCCTGTCTGTTAATAAGCAGCTATCTCTCTCTCAAAGACATTTTACTCCTGGTTTTATGTGTATATTTTTCAAACAAGTCAAAATCAACAGCACTTAATGCTGAAAAAGGAAGGATTCTTTACAGGTGCCGTCCTGTCATGAAACAAAAAAGCATGTTTGCACTTATTAGAAGTTTTATTTTATGCAAGCCCGATTCTGGAGGAGGCCTTGTCCCGATAGTAAACGGAGCTCTCCCCGACCTACAGCGAGATTAGTGGGCACTGATGCCACCCAACCTCCATCGGACTGTGTCGCCCCCAAAACCACTGCCGTCCTCATCATGCACGGCCTGGTCCAACCTCCAACTCAGCGGCAAGGAAGTGTGGACAACAGGAACGCGAAGAATACAAAGGAGAAATCCTTCCTGCATCTTATCCCATCTCCCCATAGCTCAATTTACTTTTGTAGCATAACAGGGAGTAAGGTCTTCTATCTGCTCTTTGTAAAACGTGATAACGAGATAACATTTGTCATAAAGATTGATTGATTGATAATATCGCTGAAAACAGTGAAAGAAGAAAAACAGCAATTCAACATTGACATTGGTGAAAGCGTTTCTGTGATCACAAGACATTTGTTTTAAATATGACCTGTGCCAAAGCGGACGTAATATCCAACTACATCAGGTAATACCTTTGTATGAAAACGACCTGTCTCATAATGCTACCAAGGCAACCAAACAGTGATGGACGACCTTGACGGAGACTGGACTGATGGTCTATATACATAAATTATATCCTGAGTTAACTTTGCATTCTGCTGAATTCATGAGGGTTTGAAACTTATCTAATCAGTCATCGCCTTTTTTCCTTCACTTCTTTATAAGTATATTCATTTACTTTTCAAGCCAAGGAGGAAAAATGCAACTGAATAATATGTATGCTGTTGCACACAGACAGGATTTTTCTCATGAAAATAAATATGAACATGACCTTCATTTATTTATCCTTAAAGGCTTTACAAGTTTTCACACTTAAATGTAATAGAAATCAAGTATATCCTCTGAAAATAACTCTGTGAGTCATGACTGTCTACAATGGGTGTAACACCCGAGTCCCACTGTCTGTGATGTTTTCAGAGTTTTCCGAGTCCTATCTTCAGTTTGTTTACATCGCCTGGACGGACGGCCAGCCGGCTCATCCCCTCACGTATAAAAGTTGTTTAATTGAGGGACTAGAGAAAATAAGAATAACATACAGTACTCACTGCTTAACTGTGTTTCTAGATCACACTCATTTCAGGTAAATTTACGTGTGAAGATATGAGCATAATAAAGATCGCTAGCGTTAGCATGCTAACACAACAATGCAGCGCGAGTTGTTTTGGTTTCATGCTGGTGCTCAAGGGCGACATCTGCTGGATCAAAAAATCGCATAGTAAGCCTTTAAGGTGAACAGATTATCAACATTTCATTTTACATCAGTTTATATATCTGATGGATTTCTACAATAATCATTATTGTAAAACTGCTAACAGGAAAAAATACCACCACCATATGATGGTGAAACTTGATTTTATCACTGACTTGGTTAACTTAATGAGCAGAGATTAACCAGCTTATGATTAATAAAGAAACTGAAAGTAAAGCAGGTCTAATCAGAGAGAAGTGAATGACTGAGGTATGGAGAGGAAAAGATAGAAGACTATCAGCGCTTAGACAGTTAAAAAACAAACTCACATACCACAGTTAGACGCATTATGGTACAAAACGTCACGTTGGTATTGGTGTCCTATTATGGGTTTTAGATTCTGTCTTAGGCAGTTGGGCACATTGTAAACACACACATTAGCAAATAGATTGCAAGGTTGGCGTTATTCTGAGTCTGCAGAGTTGAATTTAAACAGGGATACAAGTGGAATCCACATTTCTTTATTAAGCATCTGCACAACAGAAACGTGTAATTGATCAGAACTGAATTTCCCTTCAGAGTCAAAATTGTCGCAACTCTCATAAGCTGTGAGGAAAACTCTCAGGGGGCAGCATCTCCTCTTCAGTCAGTGCTATGATTAGGACATGCCTAATAGACAAAGGTATGGTACACACATTCAGCAGGGTGTGCAGCTTTATTGTTAATTCCTTGTGTTGGGACATGGGCAGCTGGCTCGAGGGCCAGTCATAAACAGACCGTATATAAATGTTCATCACTTCTCTTGTTTAATTAATTGTAAACACATGGAACGGACATCCAAAGTAAATCCTTACTTTTTACCTTAAAACTAGGCATCATTAAGTTGGTGTTGCTCTTTATTAAATTAAAAATAGATTCAGTGAATCCAGTCTTTAAATAACCTTCTGTACATATCTTACTTCAGATTTCCTCATCTATCTTCCCCCTTTTTACATGCGATCCACCCACTTAAACAACAAAATATGTCATTATGTTGTCACCATGGAAACTGCACAGGTTGCACCCTGTATTACCATAGCAACTGCACATAGTGTCTCCAGTGCTGTAACCTTGGCTTTCGGTATGCCTTCTGAAATAAAATGATGTGCAAATACCGACACAAACATATTCAAAACAAAGATCCATTCAGGCAAAACAGACCCACTGTCAAAGCATTGTAATCATATGATCACACTACTGAGGCTCCTTCTGCAAAAAGTGTTTCATGGTGCTTAAAGCTTGTATTACGCAAAGTATCTCAATGCTGATTGACAAATGTAATGTCCATCAGAGAGGCACAAAACCTTTCTCAAAAGATTGCTATTGCTACTGCTTAGTAATATGCTTAAATTCAGCGGGTTGTCTCGTCTGATCTGAGGTCAAAGTTGAAGCACACCCCTCTCCCCACACACATTAAAAAATCATTACAAGCCAAGAATAACATCTTGGAGACACAACAATGTTGAGACTTAAGTAATCAGTACGTGTTTTTACACTCATAAAGGAACTTTAGTCACAAGGATTCTTTTATATTTATAATCAGTCAGTGGAAAGTTAGCCTCTTCTTTCAGAGGCAATTATGAACTTTACTTGGATTTGTATCAAGTCAAAAAGCAGGAAAAAATATTATTTATATACAATAAACTACACTAAGACAAAAGGCTAATACTAAATATGCAAGGACATAGAGATACAGTCATTGGTTCGGCAAAAAGGCATGTATAATCAACCTGTTAAGAATTGAAAATGCCACATAACTAAGTGAGATTCAGCTCGGAAAAGAAGGGGGGACAAAACAAATCAAGGATGCAACACATAAAAAAGAGATTCAAACATTTGACCAAGAATGTTTTAAGGAGTGACTAAAAAAGCTCACCTTAATAGGTCTCCCATCAGGTGTCAACACTTCTTCAGAAAGTTCCATCATCTTCAGAGCCATGTGTGCGATTGGCTTTGCATGACTATCAACCTTCTTGTGGAGTCCGCCTGCCACACAGTAGGCATCACCTATTGTCTCGATCTGTTTGAGAAATGGAGGAGGAGGTGCAGAAACACTCAAATGAATACGTGTGAGTTTTTTCAGTTGTATATGAAATAACTCATACCCGCTTCATTAAGTAGTAGAAATGAAAAACTCTTCTTTCATTCCTCTTGTTATATAAGAACTACATAATCTCTTTGTCTTAGTCTCTTGGCCTACATCCTTTACAACAACAGTTGGTGAACAGTTGAAGGGATCTGGATAAACCTGCTTATGGCGGCTTGCTCTGCCTCTGACCCAGTCTGACAAGCCAAAAAAACAATACAATACAAACATTTGCAGATGAAGAAAATCCCTTATTATGCTTAATCCTTTGAATCTTTCAGTTACTGTTTCTTCAGAGTCAGATATACTTATATAGATATTTCAGCTATGGTATGACAAGTAGGTGGATGTTGATTTGTAAGGAAACAAGAACAAAATTGAACATAAATCCTTTTCATGTCCTATACCCGTTTGTACATTAGAGACAAAAGTAGCAAAACTCATGCACGTCTCTTGATATAGATAACACATCCCACCAAGGAAGAATTTTAAGAACAGAGCTTAAAGCCTTTGATAAACCACGGATCAGCTTCAGTCAGGTGTAATCTTGAACAGCTAAATTCATGCAAATTATCAGTGGATTTGTATATAGACAATAAGAAACCATGTCTCTTGATGCTTTTAGCAAATGTACACTGTTTCCCACATGCTGCTTTTTTCCCCTTTTTAAATAACTTGCATAACGATGACAGGTCCAAACATTGAATTGTGCATTGCTGTGGAAGTTGCTTCTTCTTTTTCCATTTAACAACACATATTTGTTTGGCATACCCTTATTTAGCTCATCACAAAACTGAGATACTGCAACCTGAGCCCATTTGAACAAAGCAAACAAGCAGTGCCATTGTCAAGGTGTGATGCTATCTTTATAAGTTAAAAAAAAAAAGAGAAGAAAAAAGAAACGGTCCTTGTGAAGAAGAAAAGGAAAAACTAGGAGACAAACTGGCCTCATTTAGGCCTGCCATGGGCTAAATGATTTCCACAGTAACCATGACAATGGAAACATATGGGTGCCTCAATCTCTTCACCATGTCCCTCCTGTTCCTGTTTTCTCTTCCACGCACACACTCACTCATTGACGACTTCACACATAAACCCTCTTTTATACTCTCTCAATCCCTTTTATTTTGACTATGTACAACTTCTTCTTTTTCAACAGACATGTAAAGCATGACATATCTGATAACACAGAGGAATGGCATGTTTTTAAAGCAATGTGGCAGGTATATCTCGTTATCACAGAGACTGCGGTAATTAGATTAGAGATACATTGGTGGTAAGAGCGAGGATTGAAAGAGTGAAAAAGAAGGGAATAACTGTTCTGGTGATAGAGAGTACGAATGAGGAAAATGCTGTGGACGACAGTGAAGTGAGTAACTAGGCCCACAGCCACACAGTCACATGGACAATATTGACACATCTCTGTTAAGCTCCCACATTGATCAGTGACTTTTTCCACAGCACGAGAACAGCCACAAATGACAGCGCAGAAAAAACCCTAAAGATTTAACTGATCTCACACAACAGTTAACACTTGAAGACCCCATGAGAGCGGGTCTGTACCTTCCTGGAAATCAATTTAACTTTAATGATGACCTCATTTAATACAATGAAACTGTAACATTTTATAATCCTAACACATTAGAGCCCCACCCAGTGATTTATGCCTTTTCGAAACATCTTGTCTCAACAGGTATTCACCAACAACACACAAAGAAGATGTGAGAACCTCTCATCTACTGACCTTATAAACATCCAGAATGCCACATTGGTAGTCAAAGCGCGTGTAAAGCTCGTTCAGCATGGAGATGACCTGCATGGGTGTGCACTGGGCACACACTGCAGTGAAGCCCACAATGTCTGAGAACAACATTGTGACATCATCGAATTTGCGAGCCGGTACTGGCTGACCCTGCCACAGTTTCTGTGCCACATCACCAGGAAATATGGAATAAAGGAGGTCCACGGTTCTCCTCTTTTCCTCCTCCAGGGCCTGATGAGTCCGCTCTAAAGTGGCCTAGGGGAGAGAGAGGAGAAGAAGATTAACAGTGTTCTCTTAGGCGTGCTTTCCTCTGATGAATGCACTGATGACAATGAAGCAGGGATGTGGGAGTACTGCGCCAAATTAAAACTGCTGGTGCATGTAAATGTATTCACGTATTAATTTGATTTATTTTGGGGCGTGTTTATCTGCATATGCTTAATTGTGTCTGTGGGTGAGTTTCTTAATAACATCAAGTATGTCTAATGCAATACATTCTTAAGACAGGCAAGTCACGATGATATACGTCTGTCTTTCTTTTGGATATGTTAATGTCTTAATTTTGCCTAATGTCATATCTCTTTTGATGCTTGTCATGACAACTCTGTAAACCCCTTTGAATTGCTCAATGTATGAATGGTGCTCTATTAATACCTTTGCCATGCCTTGCCTATAACTGATGCACTGGCTTGGGTCAAGATTCAATAACTTGCAAAAAGGATCTTTGAAAAAGTGAATTTTAAAAGTATGTCCCAGGAGCAACATTCCTCTAGCCAATAGATTAAACAACTTACACTAAGTTTAAATCAGCCGAGGCATTGAGAATTCATGTTCATGTTCTCTTGCTGTGTAAATATAAATAAACGCACAAAAACTGACAACCGATGTACCTTAAGTTTGTCCATTCTCTTCTTCAGGCCGTCCTGGGCCTTGGCCTGCTCCCCCACCAGGATAACGTCTCGTGTGGCATCATGGATGGGGATGTCTGACAAGTGGAGGCCCCTGCCCATCAGCTCCTCTAGCTTATCAACACGTGGGGAGCCCAGAAACATCAGGGAGCACGACTCGGGCACATGGATCATCTGACCCTTTAACTCCATGACCTGGCAAAGAGAGCATTCAAATGATGTTAGATAAAAAGTCAGGCTATTTGCCTTGTCTAGTTTTTTTTTTATTCTAGGTCTACATACAGTTCTGTGTGATACATGTGCAAACATACAGACAGATTATATAGAGAAATACTGAGACAGGTTGTTCCAGGTAGATAATGTACATTAAGATTTAGATGGTCAAAATATCGATGGGGCAATATACCGTCATGTGCTCCTTGCAAATACATGTATCGATGCAGATGTAACAGAATCAATACGGCTGCAATTCACAACAACGCCATAGCCATAGCTCTGGGATTAAAATATTTGAATGTATTTCTAGGATCCCTGAGGACCTTAATTGAAGTGTTTTAAGTTGTAGGATCCTTAAAATGCCTCTGCTGTTATTCTCACCAATAAAGAACAGCTCTTGTAGTGAATTCTGTGTAGGACATGGGCGTTATCCGAAATCCAAGTATATCAGGATACGTATCATATCGTGGCCTCTGTATCGTGATACGTATTGTATCGTGGGGTTGTGGGAAATACCCAGCCCTAATGGATATTATGTCCACTTGATATTTGGATTTCTCTAAATAATGTGATCCAATACATCAGTCACTGTTTATGTAGTATTTGTACCACACTATTGCTCATGTCTACCTTTAAATCTCTCTACATCACACACAGGCATTGTCTTTTGTCCTATAAAGCTCAAGGTGTGTAGCTTTTTCCTTTAAAATGTATTATAAAAGGGGGAAATAAATATTGTAATGCATCATTATTTAGTAAAAGACAATTTATAAAGTGATCAATACCTTTGTATTTCAAGGGTAAACAAAAAGTCTTCAGGATGTAAATTAGGTCAAAGTTCATAACTTGATGTCTACTGGCAAAACTTGTATTCTACAAGATATGCAGACATAATTCACACAACACATGTCTACATGCACACATTATAGTGGAACCCTGATTATTATTTAAACAACACTGTTTAATATGATTTTTTAGACACTTCTAACCTCGTGTAACAACATCTGATAATAACGCATTACCTGTACAAAGAACTGGGTAAATCAGTGACCTAATTATGAAATACACAATCCTGTCATCATCCAAATGTCACTGGTTTGAGTCATACAGTCAGTTCAAATGTCCTCAAGCGACATATCATGAGCTATGATCATATGCAAAGGTCATATCATTGAAGTATGACTTTAGTATTTGAGTGGGTACAACACAAATAAAGAAGTGAACAACAACACAAATCAAGACGAAAAAAAGATGTTTCATCGTACTTTTCAATAACATTATAGTATGATTACTGCAAATGCAGAATATAAGCCAGCAGTAACTTCAGAGTATGATAAAGAATTGGTTTCACTCATTTCTTAACATTTTGCACCTGCTGATTTTCTTTCAGTCAGGTGTGAAGAATGAAAACAAAAGATCGTTCCTCTTGCAGTTGAAGGGAGATTGAAATAGGGATGTATTGCTGATTACCCCAGGAGATGCTGAGGAGAGGCATTACTGTCCTTTTGAATATGAATCTTAGCTGTTTCACAGGGGTAACTACCTCTGCTTGAGGCCCTGTGGATAAGCCACTCTTTTTCTTCTTCTTCCTCTACATGATTTCACCCTTTCCTATTCAGTCCTTGCTCCTATCCCTTCATTTCTTTAGCTTCTTTTTAGGGTATCTCTCTCTCTCTCTCTCTCTCTCTCCCTCTCCCTTCATCTTCATCTGTCTTTCATTCATGCCTTTCTCTCTTTCTCTCTCTATGCTCTTTACTCTGTCTCTTACATTATGTCTTCCTCTCTTTCTTTCTCCATAGTGTCAGATAGATTATTCCGCCAGTTCGCACACTGCAGCCCTGTTTTATTTATAGCACAAGGCTCTCCTAGGTCTGCATAATACATATAGTCTACACACACACACACACACACACACACACACACACACACACACACACACACACATATCCATAGAGACACACATTCTGCCTCTGACTGTCTGTTTCTCAGGAACACTGACATACATACATATAAACACACATATGCATACATGTGGACATATGCAGTCTACAACCCACACAGGGTATAAGTTCAAGACACAGTATTTCACTGAAACACACAACTAAGTGTGATGCAGAACACACATTCTTTTTCATCTTCCGCTACTCTTTATTCACAGTTGCTTACTGTACACTCAACATCTACACGCGCTGAGAAACACAGCAGTAGTCCTGGTGTCACATGAGAGTTGAGAGCAGCCATGTGAGTGCAACCACTAAAACATGCACACGCTCATTTATGTTCAGTAGCACATGCTAAAAAAAAGTTTTTAAATAAATAAGAAAGCTAGCTCTGAAAATGCTGCCTTAAGCTCCTTAGCATGCATTTCGGAGACATAAAAGTTGCGCAATATGTATCCATGTGTAACCGCTTTACCTGTCAAAACAGCTGTGGTGCACAATGAAGCGAAACTATTAAAAGGCTTTTCGTGATAAGCATCGCTGAAAGTGTTCTTAGCTGAAAACTAAGAAGAACGTTATTGTGGGTTACAGTGTACTTATTCACATTTGTTTTATCATTTCCAGATATTTCCAGCACTACATTATTTGGCTATCGGCATGTGATGTTATTTGTAGTAAAAGTCCAAAAATAGGATTGAAGTTGCCATTAAGTTTAGATTTAAAGTTACCCACCAAATATTATTACGACTATAATAATAAAAACAAGTTCAATATTTTGGGACAACTGACATGTGGCTTGTACAAGACGAGTGGCAAGTCAGTATCAAGGGGAAGTTGCTGGTATTTTGAACATTCAGGGATGGAGAAAACAATGTGAGATTTTGTAGAAATCTGTTTCCTACAAGCACCTACAGCAGCCATGCACATTGTGGAGGTAGGCTTTGCAACTTCACAAGCACCAGCTGAATTAGTTGAATAGTCAGTTGAAACCTGAGCATCCACAAAGTTCAGAGTAACGTCTGCCGACTTTTAGGGCCTCAAATAATGGTAGCCCTGCATTACAGCATCATTCAGACATCCTGACAATTTCTGTTCATGGTCGTTTTAGTTTCATTGTTTTGGTATTTAATTTTTTGTTGTCGTTTCTGTAACCACTGTTTGAAAACCTCACTCAATCAAATGTCCAACGAGCAGCTGTTTTATTCATCAACCTGAAGGCAGAGTTACAGTTTCACTCCACCTTTGAGTCTGTCTTTGTTTCTCAGTCACGCTCATTTACTGTCCTACTCTGTCACACATAAACATACTGATGCACACATACATCAACATTGATACACACACACACACACACACACACACACACACACACACACACACACACACACACACCCTGGAGGCAGTTGTGTTGTCCTACTTGTGTGTCTCTGTTTAACTCAGCACTCTCCTCTCTCGCTGCCTGCATCTCTGTCATCCCGGCACAGAGGAGAGGCAGAGGAGGTAAGTGAAGGAGGAAGGAAGGGCGAAAGTAGAACACCGAGGTGGTTGGGAGAGAAAGCAACAGAAACAGGGGGGGTTGGGCAGAGAAAGTGTGTTGGTGAGGCCAAATAAAAAAAAAGAGAAAATAATAGAGGGGACTCATCAAATGTCAAAACTAGCAACCTTTTAGAAAGAGCTGTATGGATAGGGGGGGGGAATACATGGGGGGGAAAGAAGTAATGAAAGCATGATTAGGTGTAATGAAAATAGTGAGAAAGAAGCAACAGGACAATAATGATTGAACTTGAGGGAGGCCAAAAGTGAGAAATGTGTATTTTTTTTTACAGAAGCTGATAAAAATACACTCGATGTGAAAGGAGGCTGGTGTGTAGTAGTGATTCTTCTTTATACCAAGTTGATACATTTACACTTAGCACTTGTTCAAGGCCACCACAAGAAAGTAACATTTTTCATCAAGGCAGTTCTGCACTTGTAACACATACAATGTTGATGCCTAGTAAAAAAAAACATATTTTCTACATTTTTCTATATCCTACTTCATTTTACAAAGTACATAGCATAAAAAACAAAAGTAAAACAAATGTGAATTAAGATGTTTACTTGAGAACAAAATGTTTTCTCACAAAGCATGCTTGAAAAATATATCCAATTAAAATGGTTTAAATAAGTAATCTAATTTGATATCTCTACAGACATTCCATAACGGGATTCAAGGTTTTTGTGACTTGGCAGAGAGGACTGTATATCTCCCATCCGACTCCTAGTGGTCAATCTGTGCGCAATTGTCTTTTTTAGTGTGCATGATTGAGGTTTGAATTGTACACAACAACTCCATGTTAATGTTATGCCTTAAAATAGCAAGACATGAGCAGTGCACACTACGATGTTCATGTTTGACTTATCAGCATTGTCAAAATCATGTACAGCTTCAGCATGCCATCGCCATAGGCAACAGTGAGCTGAAGGTTGATCTAAAATTTTAAAATTTTAGATTTAGTTAGGGCCACAGGTGGAAATTAAGGCAGGAAATGAATGGGAGGAGTAAGTAGAATGGGGGCTGAGATTGTTGGACATGAAAAATGGTAACAAGGTATGAGAGGGAGAGAGATGAGAGAAAGATGGTGAGAGGTGGACAGCAAATGGATTGTCTTTTTCGTAAGCAGACTCCGGGATGTCAACAGACGCTCATTTATATGAACAAGCACTGAGCTGCAAAGAGTCAATGAGTCAGCCTCTCTTGTCCTTCACAAACACACACTTTCGCAGTGTTGCTGTGTTCTTATCGTGTTAGACCGTTGCGATATTCTTCAGTACTCTTACATCCCATGACCTGACACACACTCTCTCTTCCACAGAGTCTTAGCGATTGATAAACACTGCAGCACTACCTCGTACCTTTATGTTTCATAAAAGAATCAGCAATGAATCAGATATTTACATCAATCTTTTTTGAATGCCATACTACACGATATGAACAAGAAATAGAAATAAATGTCTACAGGCTTATCAGTTGGTAAGAAGTTGATGATAATGAATAAAGGA